GCCATGGACAATGAAATCACTCCCTCCGTCACTGATCTAAACAAACCTGTTAAGTTCAAAAGGCTTCACTTTAAACGCTGGAGACAAAAGATGTTGTTCTTCTTAACTACAAAGAAAATTGCTTCAAACTGCACTTCTGAGTTGCCACCCCTACCTGATAATCCAACTGTTGAACAATTCAAACTGTTTCAAACATGGAATGAAAATGACTTTCTTTGCAAAAACTATGTCTTAAATGGTTTATGTGATGATCTCTATGACTATTACTCTTCCTGTAAAACTGCTAAGGAACTCTGGGATGCACTCCAAAAGAAGTATGACACTGAGGAAGCGGGAGCCAAGAAATTTGCAGTCAGTCGCTACCTTAAGTTCCAAATGACAGACGACAAGTCAGTAGAGGCTCAATCCCATAAGTTACAAAAGATCGCTCTTGAGATAATATCTGAAGGCATGAACCTGGATGAATAGTTCCAGGTTGCTATCATCATTGATAAGCTGCCACCAAGCTGGAAGGAATTCAAGAAGGACTTGCGACATAAGACAAAAGAATTTTCTCTTGAAAGCCTAATTACTCGTCTTCGAATCGAGGAAGAAGCAAGGAAGCAAGATATGCGAGAAGAGGTTCTCGTCATCTCAAATACCAACAAGAAGCCTTACTCCAAGAATCATGTTGCTGTTGTTCTCAAACCCAATGGCAAGAATCTGAAGACAGTCACCAAGTCTCACTCCAACAACAAGAACTCAATGAAGGTACGAAATACCGATTGCACTAATAACAGGAAGATACCCCCCTCAAAAGATGATACAGTTGTGCCATTTCTGTGCTACAACTGTGATAAGCCTGGACACCTGGCTCGTAACTGTCTCAACAAGCGGAGAAATGCTCCTCAAGCTAATCTTACTGAGGATCAGCTTGTTGCAATGGTGTCTGAGATCAACCTAGTTGATGGATCCGAGGGGTGGTGGGTGGACACTGGGGCATCACGCCATGTCTGCTATGATCGTGGACTCTTCAAGTCCTACACTGACTCGGAAAACAGAAGGGTTCTATTGGGTGACTCTCATTCAACACACGTTACTGGAGTTGGAGAAGTCGAGCTCAAGTTTACCTCAAGGAAGACTATTATCCTGAAGGAAGTGCTGCATGTCCCGGAGATCAGAAAGAACCTGGTTTCAGGTTATCTCATTAATAAAGCTGGTTTCACACAAACCATTGGGGCTGACATGTATACTCTCACAAAGAATGGTGTCTTTGTGGGAAAGGGGTATGCCACTGATGGAATGTTTAAGCTTAATATTGATGTTATGAATAAAATTCTTGTTTCTGCTTACTTGCTATCCTCTTTCAATATGTGGCATGCTAGATTATGCCATGTGAATAAGAAACTAGTAAATCGGATGAGTAGCTTAGGACTAATTCTTGAAATCTCATTAAAAGAGTTTGATAAATGTGAATACTGTAGTCAGGCAAAAAATCACCAAAAAATCACACAAGTATGCACTTAGAGAAACTGAATTACTTGACCTAATCCACTATGATATATGTGAGTTTGATGGTGTGATTACAAGAAATGGAAAACGCTACTTCATCACCTTTATAGATGACTGCTCAAGCTATTGCTTTGTTTACCTAATGAAAAACAAGAGTGAAGCACTTGACATGTTTAAAGCCTTCTTAACTGAAGTAGAGAATTAATTCAATCGAAAAATTAAAAGGCTTCACAGTGATAGGGGTCTTGAATATGAGTCTACTGCCTTTAATGGGTTTTGTAAAAATCTAGGTATAATACATGAGACCACTGCACCTTACTCTCCAGAAATGAATGGCAAAGCAGAAAGAAAAAATAGGACCCTTTGTGAACTAACAGTAGTTATGCGACTTAACTCTAGTTGTGCTTCATACTGGTGGGGTGAAATTATTTTAACTGTTTGTTATGTTCTTAATAGAGTTCCCTCTTCAAACTCTAAAACAGCACCGTATGAAACTTGGAAAAACAAAAAGCCTAATGTTTCTTACTTAAGAACCTGGGGCAGTTTAGCTTATGTAAGAAAACCTAATCCAAAAAGGTCAAAACTAGAAAGTAGGGCTCTTAAATGTGTCTTTATTGGTTATGCACTACACAGCAAAGCATATAGATTTTATGACATAAGGAACCATGTTATTATTGAGTCTAATGATGCTGATTTCTTTGAGAACATTTTTCCTTTTATGTCAAGGAATAGTGGGGGTTCAACCTCAACTAATCTAGAGAAGGATAGAATGAACAACAATGTTCAGAATGATTCGGTCGAAACTAGTTTCGAACCAAGAAAGAGCAAGAGAACCAAAGTCACCAAGGATTTTGGGGGAGGCTTCCACACATATGCACTGGAAGAAGTTCCCTCAACAATTCAAGAAGCTTTGTCTTCTGTGGACACAGATTCATGGCAAGAAGCCATAAATGATGAGATAGATTCACTGGAAGCAAATAGAACCTGGCACTTGGTAGAGCTACCTCTAGGATGCAAAACTATTGGCTGTAAATGGGTGTTGAGGAAGAAGCTTATATCTGATGGCTCGATAGATAAGTTTAAAGCCAAGTTAGTAGCCAAAGGTTTTAGACAAAGAGAAAATGTCGACTTCTTTGACACTTACTCTCCTGTTTCCAGAATTACTTCCATTAGAGTAATGTTTGCATTAGTTTCTCTTTACAATCTTGTTGTGCATCAAATGGACGTTAAAACTGCCTTTTTAAATGGAGAATTAGAGGAAGAAATTTACATGGATCAACCTGATGGTTTTGTAGTACCTGGACAAGAACATAAAGTTTGTAAATTAACTAAATCACTTTATGGCCTGAAACAAGCACCTAAACAATGGCATGCTAAATTTGATTGTTTACTTCTTGATAATGGCTTCAAAGTAAATGAAAGTGATAAATGCATGTATATTAAAACTAAGAACAGTCTGTGTATCGTAATATGCTTATATGTTGATGATATGCTTATCTTTGGATCAAATGTTCACCTGGTAAACGAAGTTAAAACCTTGCTTAGTAATAACTTTGACATGAAGGACCTAGGAGAGGCAAACTTAATCCTCGGAATAAAAGTTATTAAAGTTGAGAATGGTTTTTCTCTAAGTCAGTCACATTACTTAGAACAAGTTCTGAAGAAGAACAAATATTTTGATTGTAAACCTGCTTGTACCCCTTATGATCCAAGTGTTAAGTTATTCAAAAAGAGTGGTGAAAGTGTTAGACAGGTTGAGTATGCAAGCATCATTGGTAGCCTTCAATACGCTACCGATTGTACTAGGCCAGATTTAGCCTATGCAATTGGGGTTCTGTGTAGATACACCAGTAATCCTAGTATGGAACACTGGTATGCAATTGAAAGGGTAATGAGATACCTTAAGAGGACCATCAATTTCGGTTTATGTTATGGGAAGTTTCCCGCTGTTCTTGAAGGATACAGTGATGCCGATTGGAATACACTCTCAAAAGATTCTAAAGTTACGAGTGGTTATATTTTTAATATAGCCGGAGTTGCAGTCTCGTGGAAATCTAAAAAACAAACCATACTTGCACAGTCAACTATGGAGTCTGAGATGATTGCCTTAGCAACAGCTAGTGAAGAAGCAGGATGGTTGAGAGACCTTCTATCTGACATTCCATTGTGGGAGAAACCAATTCCTGCTGTGCTTATTCACTGTGACAGCACAGTAGCCATTGCCAAAGTAACAAATCGATACTATAATGGAAAGAGAAGACAGATTCGTCGGAAACACAGCACGATTGTGGGGTTTCTTTCTACGGGGACTGTCAGAATAGATCATATTAGATCTGAAGATAATCTTGCTGACCCTTTGACGAAAGGATTAGCAAGAGAAAAAGTGTGGAAAACCTCTAGTGGAATGGGGTTAAAACCCTTGATACGATGAGTCACTTGTGATGGTAACCTAACCATTTGACTGGAGATCCCAAGAAAATGGTTCAATAGGTAACAACAAGTCACGAAGTGATATGGAATTGTGCCCTACACATGTTTTCAATTTATAGAAACTGTTTGCAGAGGGCAAGAAATCTTGTAGCGTATGAAAAGGTTGAGTTGTGAAACTCTTAATGAAAACTATACTCTAAATGAGTAGGATATCAAGCTATAAGAGTATCCTTAATAGTTTCACCTTTGTGATAGTGAAGGTGAGGCCGCCTACTAAGAAGTTTCTAGGGCTGACTTCTAGCACTATCGCTAAACTGGGATACATGCACATGGCCGAAATGTGCTGGCTTTGAGCTTCACTCAAGAGGAGTTGTGTGTGCTTTGTTGTCAGAGATTGAGTTCAAGACTATGGGTTACTCATGTTATTCTGAAGCACTGTCCCTATGTTTTGGTTCAAGTTGATAAAACACCAACACTAATGCACAACTCTATTTTCACTTACTCAATGTTTGAGTTTAAATAACCAAGTGGGGGATTGTTAGGGTTTGCATGTTTATTTAAAAAACTTGGAACGTGGAACTAGTCAATTAGGGTTTACGTTGGTTTCCTAGTTTTGTGGAGAATCCTTCCCAACAGAAAGATTTACTTTGAATACATGTTTTATCTAAACCATCTGATAAGGCTCCCTGATTTTATGGCCAGTTTTGAAGGGCACTTTCTTCTCAACCATTTCAATGTTAGTATTTCTAAAGTAGTATAAAACTAGGGTTCTAGTTCTGAGAAAAAAGACACATTGATAACAAAAAACTAAAACAGTATTTCAGAGAACATTGAGTAAGATAGTGAGTGAAAGCTTGAGATCTTTCTCAGTGCAAGAAAGGTCTAGTTAGTAGTGATACTGGGCTGTTTTATCCTGGGGACGGTGTGGCGATTGTGACTGCTTGCACCCCTTGGGCAGAGCCGCGAAACGTCTTAAAGAGAGCGATATTGTCCGCGACTCAACCCAAGATACTTTTGTGCTTCTGTTGGTTCTTCAACCTGTTTGGTAATTTCGTTCCTTGTTCTTGATTTGTGCAGTGTATTTAACATCATCCAAATAATTAAACAATTACATTAAGGCATTCCTGAATCTGACTGTATATGTCGTACGAGAGAGTAATTTACAGCATAGATCACCCATTCAAACCTATTTTAAGGCCCCTAATTGTATTGATTCTCCATTCATTCCTCGTCAACAGAAAAATCAGGTTCCGCTGGCTTCTGCAATGGGCTAACGACTCCAGAATCTGACCCAGAATGCTTATTGGCACCCCGTCTGGTACTTGCAGCAAGCCTTGCTGCGTAAGTAACCAAGCCCAACACAGGTGGTGTTTTTGCAGGCTCAGTTTCTTTGTGGTTTTCTTTAGCCTTGAGTTCGGCTGCTTCCTTTCTTTTCTTACATCGACGCCATGCTGCCTGTATGAAACAAGCAGACCATAATCTCCATTGGTGCGAATAGAACCGGAACTTGTGTCTAAGTTGCTTGCTGTGAAGTCTTCTGAACTGGGATGCTACGAATTTCAAGTCATCTGCCACTAGAGCAAATGCTTCTACTTCAGAGATGGATTTGACTGTGCGCGTTGAAGATGGCAGGATTACACTTGGACGAGGGTCCAAGGCCCATGTCAGAAGTTCCTCACCACAGAAGTCACCTGGACCAATACGACATGAATTGAAGAATCCAGTTCGACCACCATTCGTGGTGTAAGAATCAAGGTTGCCCCGGATTATGAAGAGCATTTCATTGACAGGGTCTCCTTCACGGACTAGAAATGTGCCTTCAGTACACAAGGCCGGTTTGAGCCTTTCACATATTGCATCTAGCATCCTTTCATCCATTTGATCAAACAAAGGAACCTGTTCACCAAATGAAAAAAGAATACACAAAAATTTGTATAGTTTCAATTAAAATTACATGGTAGTATCAATAAAAACCTATTTGTGCTACTGGTTATCAAGATAATAATAACTTACCCGACGAACAAGGTCAAGGCAAAGGTGCCGCTTGATGTCTCTTCGAAGATCCATAGGTAGGCCTTTAAGAAGAGTTTCCTCATCAACTCCTCGAGTAGCCAACCACTTGTATTGATCATACTTCCGTACAGACTGTCTTAGTTCCGGAGGCAGCTGCCTATGACGCATCCATTGTTCTGTATCTGTTCTCTTAATCCTCCACTCTTCTAGTCTGACTGTTGTGGATTGGAGGTATGTCTGCCATTGTAAAGAAAGAGTGATCGGAACTTAGAAATATAAACTTCAGAAGAACTCCAAGAATATAATGGGTTGCATAGTAACAAGCCAATTCAGAGTCCAGACTGTCTAGAAGTTCAGATTTAAGTCCAGACTGTCTAGAAGCTCAGATTTAAGGTACATGTAAAAGCCTACTGAGACATCACTGACCAACGACTTACTTGCATATTACCAATCAGCAATGCGAACAGAACCAGCCCAACAGTCGCAATGATTATCGCAAACATTATCTCTCCAATGTAAGTACTTGTTGAAAGATTTTGTCCCAAAGAACTGCACAAGTTTCAAATAAAATAACTCAATCATCTACTTTAAATTAGGCAAGCCTAAGCTTTGACCTGCACTAAACATTGTTAGCCCCTTTGCAAAAACATCCAGTGAAGAAGATTTTAAAAAAGTTACAGATATAAGTTGCTCAAAATTCTACAAAGAACATAAGGTGGTAATGTTAAAAGTATTATTCACAAATGTGTTAATGCCCATTACAAACAGATATAGAAACAAACAGCTTACCTGAGGTTTCTTAGACCCCACCAGAGACAGTAAAAGTATCTGTTGAAGAACGACGAGGTTGTAACATCATATGTCACCGCATCGCCATACATACCAAACTTATAATAGCTGTTATCTGGATTACATAGATTTGTGACATTACTCGACTTGTACCAGTACTTCCTGCCAGGGTCTTGAGCCCAACGGCAATCAAAGTAATCAGGTTTACACAATGTCTTCTCAAGATCACAAACACTTCTCCAACAAGATTCTTGCCGCTCAATTGAAAGAAGGTACCAACAAGCTCCTAAAACCTTTTCACAGAGAAAAATAAAAAAAAAATCAGCAGCACACAGTAGGTTAACATTTTCCTTAAATACTTGATTGTTCAATGAAAAAGAAAGGTGTGAACGAGTATTCGTCAAATGTCTATTAGACAGTCAGGAAGATGAGCTCGGCAGTTTAATTCAATACGAGAATAAGAATTGAGAAATTTCAAATTTGGTCATTATATGCAATGACAGATGATCGTTTCAGGTTTCAACCAACCAAGCAAGTCTTAGACTGAAAAAAACTCAAATTCGTAGATTAATAAGAGTCAAATAAATCCATTCATGAATTATAACAGCTGAAAACTGAAAATAACTTGTCATTTCCATATGTTTCTGAAATACTTTTAACTGTAACACATTTTGCAAAAACCACGTAAGTTTGTAATTATTCCTTCTTTTATGTTTCTATATGATGGAGAAAGATAAGGTTCAGTGAAAATCCTTAGGCTTAGCCACTCAGTCTACACATTGACTATAGTATTATTTGTGATCAAGCTGTAGATGCACAACTAGCTATCTTATTCAAAGTTCCGAAAGAGAAACAACGGGTTTGTTTAGACTTACATGACTTGCCAACATGTATAGCATCAGATTATATGCAGCCCCTGCCCATGCTTTTTCTGTCACAACGCCAGTAGCCTTAACTATTTGTGATGAGAGCGGAAATATAAGAAAGAGCCTTGGTATGTATTGAAAGATTATGATGAACCGAAGGAAGTTTTTTGTGTTTGTCACTGTTGAACCCCTAAGGGTTGGGATTACGATCCAAATCAGCACCTGAGAGGAAGATGAAAATTTAGAACTGAATTTAGTGCATATTAGCTTTGTCTCAATGGTGAACAAGAAGTTTTCAAGTAACATACCTGAGGAAGGGGCAGGGCAGCAATGAGGTCTATCCAGAAATCCTGGCGTAGGTACCTCAATGCGATCTTTGAAGGTTCTATTACAAGCTCTCCTCTCCCAAATACACGAGAGGAAGGTGCAATATAAGCTTTACGAAAGTTAATAAAAATTTGAATTATGTAAAATACATCAGCCACTGATCGAACAATTGTTAGAACAACTTCAAGTGGGATTCCAATACTAATGCAGAATTCATCTCTCGTCGATGGCAAGTAAAAGAATAGAGGGTCCACGAACAGAGAAACTAAACAAGTTACTAAGAAAATATTGTTCCAACGGTGAATAGTTTGTCCTCGAGGATCTAATATTTTCTTCTGCACTCTCTCATAGTCCTCGGAAAAGACTCTGGACAGAACTTTAGCTTTTAAAGATTTTCCAGTCTTCCCAGGAACCTCCTTTCTGCAGGGTTCTGCTACTGGTGCTCCATCAATCTTGTACTTGAGCTTAACCACACCAACTCCATTGACCGATGGTAGCTTTGCTAATTCAACATCATCTTGAAATCTGAAAATTTCAAATTTCATATGTGAATAAAAACAAATTTTTAAAATTAGAAACCAGCTTATTATGCTAAGCTATATGATTAGACTACAAAACTTATAACAAAAACGGAAACACAATTGTAAAATATCGTTTAGAACACGGTAACATAAACTAAGATGACCTAAATATTGGTTGAAATCGAAACAGAATTCGGAAGAAAGATGTACCTTATAGATTTTGAATTACCATAACCCATGGCAATCTTCTAGGAATACCACTTTGCCTTCAATTAACAGAATTGACTGTAGTAAAACAACACCGAATAATCGAACATATATTAGGCCATGAATCAACTGTATGTAAATATATAGGCTCTTCGAAATAAAAGCCGAAAAATGACGCGGCATTAGCTCAAAGCCACAAGAACAGGGAAGATGTTGCAACCATGGATACTCATTCACCAGGAATCATGTGAACATGTGAAATATATAAGGAAGATGTCAACTTGGAGATGAAGCTGTTAAGACTCTATATCCCCCAAAGTGCAAGTCAAACATGTGACTGCTTTAAGATTTTTGTGTATACACATTGAGGGGGGAAAAGGTTTATTTTATGATTCATAAAAAATAAAAATTATTAGGCCTCCTAAAATTAATGTATGTATATTGTGTTGAAGCAATTGAATGAGTCAAAAATGTAAAGCGCCCTGAACCTGCAAAACTAAATAGAAAACTAAACCAAAATAATTTGAAATAAATAATTACAGTTAAAACTCAACACGAAAATCAAGATTAATTAAATAAATGCAACAGGTTTAGCACTCTGGGAATCTGGCAAATGGGTTTTACTTAAAACCCATAAGAATCTTAGGGGGGGGGGAGAGAGAGAGAGAGAAACTTACAAGTTTTTCTGTCTGCCATGGCCAAGCTTCAGCAAACTATGAAATCACTCTCTCTAGTTTCTTACAGATTTCAGCTCAAAACCGAACTGCTATTACTCCAAAAATAAAATATTGTGAAAATAAAATAATTAGAAATAAGCTCAAAAAATGGAAAAGTCTAAAATATGGGTGAGAAAAGCAATGCTGGGTTTTTAGTACTTGAAGAGCCCCGGCGTTGTTCTTCCCGTCAAAATGTTTTTTGAAATTTTGAGAAAATGACTGAAGTATTAACCTATATAAGGAAAGTAATAATTATTTAATTTTCATTAGCATATTCGGTTCAAAAATATAAAGAAATATTGTTAGTGGTTTATATCTTTTCCATAATTCCATTGTCAATGGATATAAGAAAGACAGAGAGAGAGAGAGAGCCACAAGAGTGTGTCCAAATTTTCCAAAGACGAGAGAGATCAAGAGAAGGTTGAGAAAAGACAGGAAGAAGCTTCAATTGCCTTGCTTATTCAGTTTTGTTTTTAATCTAATTGTTTTTTCGGAAGGGTTCCAGATCAGATGTTACTATATTTTACCCCTTTTTTTTTTTTTTTTGAAGATCCGAGGAGGAGTTGACTACGCTAGATATGCATGCTGTTGGAATCTCGACACGTGTCTTTCATATGTTTTGTAGCCTGCTTTTCAAGTTTTGATTGAGTCACTGTTTTAAAAATTCTCGCCTAGGTGCTAAGCGGTTGGTCACCGCTCTGATTAATGGCTAGGTGTTTCAAAATTAAGAAATTGTGCTTAGACTTACTGAGACGCCTGCCTAGGCATTGACTAGGTTGTGACTCACTTAGACAGAAAATAGATAGCTTTCATTTTGCATTTTATTTTATTTTTTCAAAAAATCGTAAAACTTGTTGAATACTTAAATGAACACACATATATGTTTGTTCCCCATTTTCATTATATCAAATACTTCATAATATATATGTCATTCTATTTTGTAGTTTATGATGAATTATATATATTTTAAGTATAGACAAACACTTATTTACACGAAATATAATAAATTCACTCAAATACACCTAGTCCGCCTAGGCGCCCGTCTAAGCCTCACCTAGCCACCTAAGCGCTAGGCTCTAGCCCCGCCTTCCAACTAGCGCCTAGCGTCTTTTAGAACTTTGGATTGAGTAGAGTAATTTATATTTAGAGAATAGACCTTTGAATAAGGGGATATCTATTTTTGAGTAAAAATTGAGACTAGTTATACGGTAATTTCACGTTGAATTTCAATTATTCAAATTGATTATTTTTTAAATCTCGATTCATTGATCATCCTTACAAAAAATTAATTTAATTCGAAACTATTTGCCTATTTAATTATCACGTTGAAATTTTTTAAAGAACAAAGTGTTTGTCAATTTCTTTGAACCTAATTAGATGCCTCAAATATTTTCGACTTGGCTAATATTTTGTAAGGATGATCTATAGGTGAAACTTAAAAAATAGACGATTCAAATCATTAAAGTTTAATGTGGTGTGGGCCCACCAACTAATCCCAATTTTTATAAATAAAATAAAATAAAATTAGGAATCTCCTCCCTCAAAAGCTTCCTTTAAAGAATTCATATGTTATTAAACTATTAATCTGAGACAGATGTGACTACAACATATATAATTGTATAATCTAAATTAACTTATAGTGGGAATTATTATTAGCACTCAAAAACTCTTATTGTACACTCTAAATTTTCTCTATTTAGAAAAAAAAAACACCAATAAAGAGTGCAAAATAAAAAATTTAAAGTGACAATAACATTTCTCTGTCAAAATTTGTTTATGTATGCATTCAAAAACACACAATATTATCCAAAGATTATATTAATACGAATGCCAACTTGTTTGACATAAAAGATAAAAAAACCCTCCACTTCTATATATTTTCTTGTATATATTTGTCACATGACTGGCGGGGCAATGAGCATTGCATACGGCACCGAATTATATAAGATTCGCCTTGACAACCTTGACGGTGACCCATTTGTTGACTTCTTGACATTTGGCTTTCTAGAAAGAGCGACCACCAAAACTCGAAGAAGTTGGACTAAATCAATTCAAAGAGTCCGCCCTTGATCTTCCCTTTGTGAGGAAAAAAAGTAGAGGCTTCAATGGCTCTGTGACCTCTACTATAGCAATTTGTATGGTGTTTGTACATTGCTACGATGATATTTGTGCAAGCATACAAAGACACGTGAAGAAACATTAACACAAAATTTTATATCATTAAAACAAAATGTTACAATGATAGTATACTCGTATCATTCAAGTTTTTCTCGTCCAGTACATGTTCAACCACCAACCAAAATCGACTCTCTTATGTTGCTTGTCTATTTATTTTTAGGTTATGTTTTCTTATTAAATTTTTTTTGGTAAATTTTCACATTAAATTATATTGTATAATTAGTATTGCTTTATTTTTATTTTTTTGTGTATTTCTGGCTGCTGGACGGCAGCTTCAGTTGTGATCCTCTTCATCCTCTTCACAAAGTGATCAAAAGATATTGTATCTCAAGTTCAACTAGTTAAAGAAAATAAGATTGACCCTATGGAAGGAGAAGTGCATTTGGGTTTCGTTGGGGGCGCAAATACGTACGTACTTTACTACACATGAAATTGTCGTCCATTAATAGTATAGAATGAAACGGAGTCGGATTCTATTAATTTTTAAACATAAAGCCCAAAAATAACGAGTAAGTATTGAGAAAAACTGTCCCGATTAATTCTTGAGTGAATAATTGACCACAATAGTGTGCTTCATCATGTGAACTCAAGTTTGAATCCTTTTTTAATGTTTTGACCTGTTGCATGTAACTAATTAAGATATGCGTGCATGAAGGTTACGAACTTACGACATCTAAATTTACAGACCATCACACGCTTCATTTTTTGTTGGGACACTTGTCGATTTATGCTCAATTTTTTAAAGTTGTATTATATTATGACCCAAAAAAAACAAAAACTTCCATCAAAAGCATGTCTCCATTTTCCAGGAAATAAAAAACTTATCACATCCATGCATGCAGGCCATACAACTTGATTTGAATTAGAATAAAGTTTTGAAATAAATTTTGTACTCGTCTTTTAGCTTCTTAAGTCACAAAGTATAAATCGATCGATGCCATTTAGGTTGGGCTATCAGGGCAGCTTACAACTTGTCCACGTCATGCCAGTGGTACATATACACAAATTCAAACAACTCTGCGGGCTAATTTAGAAAAATTGAAAATATTTGTTTAATGATGGATGATCATTTACTCTAGACTAATCCGACAAGCCGGCGAGATCTCGACCCCTCCCACAGGCTGGCATGTAGTTGAAGGCCCTGCACCTTACCACCGAACATAGGAATTAAACATGCTTTTGTTTGGTATAAGTCCGGGTACTCTAATCTTTTATGAGTGATTCTAAATTGGTTCAAATAACTACCTTTTGAAAAATGTACATCTTTTAGGTTCATTAGCATTCAGTAATGACATGGACAAATATTAAGCATGTTTAATTCTCAAGCCATCTATGGAGATTTGAATCTCTAAACTGACGTCATTTAGCTAAGCAAATTTATTGTTTAACTTGGATAACTAGGTCAATTTGGGAGATTAGAATTCTAAAGACGTTGATTTATGAAAACCAACGTTAGTATTTGGCCACCTCATCATTTAATGCTAGTAGCATCACCACTCAATGTTGGTAAAGTCCTCGTGTCCTACCAGATGTCTAATTTCAAAATTTTAAGTAGTTATTTGGAATGCTTTAAAAGGTTAAGACTAATTTGGAATCACCCCAAAATGTTAAGTAGTTTTTTGTATTTAACCCTTTTGTTTTTATTTGTAACTAATTAAGATGCATTTGTTAATTTAAATTTTTCATGTGGCCAATTGTAATTTTGGTATTAATCGATAAAGATCAACAATAAATTATAATATAGAACTATGAACATTGAAAGTACAGTAAGTACGAATTTGCAAACGTATGAGACAAAACAGTTTTGTCCTACAATGAAGCAAGTCATGTTAATGTTTGCTCTTATTTGTGTATTTTCTTGGGATAGATGAAATTAGTTAATCCATCACATTGATCTAATAAAGTGCATCAAATCGTTATTAAAATATGTCAGCACATGGCCCTACCCTACTAATTCAGGTAATTCAGGCACATTAAGAAATAGCGGCTTATAGTTTAAGTGGTTAAGATTGTGCATGATTGAGGCATTAAGTTCCACACTTCAAGATAAGTTGTAAAAAAAAATAAAAATAAAATACATACAGGTGTGCTATCCACATCCCTTTTTACTTCTCACACACCCCTTGTTAATTTATATCTGTTGATCTTCTTTTTTTCATCCGATCCGACGACCATAAACTAAAAAAGTGTGGGAGAAATAAAAAAAAAGTACGTGGATATCACATCCTAATACATATATATGTCGACCCTATGAGGTTGTTTGTGTCGACCCATGGGGTTGGATGCATTTATCAACCCTTTGCTAATAATATATTTTCGTCGTACATATATTATAATTGGGACCACTTGATCTCTTTCTTAATCACCATATAAAGATCATCAAAATGTATAAAACAAACCGACAATATTAATATCAAATAACATATCATAATGAACAGCCTAATAGTTAATACTTGAAACAGGGAACTGACTGTTTGGGGAAGGGCGCTCACTGCTCAATCCTCAGTAGTGTATTGCAATATAGCATTGTGTATGCAAAAGATGCTAGACAAGGTGTCTTTCTTTTATATGATATGATATGAAAGGGACACAGGCTTCATAACACTAAGTATTCTTTGTGTTAGTTATTCCATAATTAGTATATAAAGATATTATGTAAGTTGTTATTTTTGGTACTTAAACAGTTTTACTCTATATAATTAAGTTGCATGTGATTTTGCCTTCTTAATTATTATACCGGAGCCTGAATATCTAATAAGGAGGGTCAACTTAACTATAATATGTAGGATCTTACACATCAATAATAATTATTATGAATGCTAAGTATAACCAAATTTTTTAATAAAAGTATAACCAAATAAGAGTATCAAATGCTGATTAAAATTTACTGAAAAAAATAAAACAAATTCAAGACACACATGTGAATAAATTGAAAAATTTAAGGCAAGGAATGAAGTGACATGCACCTTTAAGTCCAAGTGTTTTATGATTCTTAAGCACATATGATATTAGATTATGTTTAAAGGGGTAAATATTACTGTACAAATATGAAAAAACTTGGATATAACATATAAGTAATGTTCTAAAAATCATCTCCTAACGCCGCCTAGGAGTTAGTGTAGACATCGAAATTTCGGTAAATAAATGTTGACCGATAAATCAAAGTGTCAATGCTCATGTATTACATAAATTTTACACGTAGCGTGTGACTCAACGAAAATTGAAATGAGTTGGAAAAGTCATCAAATAGGACACGTGTCAACACCTGGCATAAACGATTTATTTCATCTGGGATATTATATTCAAAATTAGGCCTTGAAAAATTCTATAAATACAAGCCCATTTCATTCATTTGGGGGGGGGGGGAACCAATTCATATTACACCTTGAAGCTCTGAAGCTCTGAAACTCCGAAGCTCTCAAGCATCCAGGTTCCCGAAGAATCAAGAAAGCCTTCTTCGTTCTTCGTTCATCGTTCTTCCAAGATCAAGCCCCGACGACCCTTGAAGAAAGTGTTCTTCGTTCATCGTTCTTCCAAGATCAAGCCCCAACGGCCCTTTGGATCAACAATCATCCACCAATTCAAGATCAAGCCCCGACGGCCCTTGAAGAAAGTATTCTTCGTTCTCTTCGTTCATCGTTCTTTCCAAGATCAAAGCCCCAACGGCCCTTGGATCAACCATCCACCAATTCAAGATCAAGCTCCGACGGCCCTTGAAGAAAGCACCATCGTTCATCATCCGTTCATCCAAGATCAAGCCCCAACGGCCCTTTGGATCAACAACGTCGACAAATCCACACATCCAACCGTTCTTCAAGATTAAGCCCAAAAGCCCTTGAAGAGCCGTTCATCACTGTTCTTCAAGATTAAGCCCAAAAGCCCTTGAAAATCCGTTCATCACTGTTCTTCAAGATCAAGCCCAAAAGCCCTTGAAGATCTGTTCATCACCGTTATTCAAGATCAAGCCTTAACGGCCCTTGAAGAAACACTCATCCTCAAGATCAAGCCCCAACGGTTCCTTGAAGATCCGCTCAAATCCACCTTCAAAGATCAAGCCCACGGCCCTTTGAAGAAACTTCTAATAGTTCATCCAAGATCAAGCCTCGACGGCCCTTGGATCAACGAAACATCCACAAATCAACACCTTACGAAGATCGAATCAGAGGATCAAAATTGAGAGAGACTGTAACCCAAAACCATCAAATACATAATATTTGTTTGTGCGCGTTGTTCTTGTCTCTTTCGTTTCAGGAATTTTCCGTGTTCACAAATTGGCACGCCCAGTGGGACCATCTCTACCTCTCATATCTTTCTCCGTTCAAGAAATTCGAGCACACTTCCAAAATTAATGGCATCAAGGAAGGCTCAAACTGTTCCCGCAACTGGCGCAAAGAACAAAAGCGTCCTCGTCGCAAGTGGTGTCACTTTAGGCATCACGACTCGAAGCAAGGCAAGAGCTACTTCTGCCGCCTCTTTCACCTCTGCATCAACTCTGCCAAGGGAACAAGAGCACCCAAGGCACGAGCCTTTGATCACCTTAGCTTCACCAAGGGCACCAAGGGGCGAAAGTCCAAGGAAATACTCCGAATCCATGCTCTCCGATGCCGATTCGAGCGACAGTTCAACCATGCAAGTCATGACCATTGGAGCAACTTCAATCGATGAGCAGCTGGCTCAAATGAGGCTAACCCGAACTGTGGAAGAAAAAGACTTGCAAATTGCTGCACTCGTCAGCCGACTGGAGCCACAGGACGGCGATAACCCTAACCCAGAAGATGAGCCTACGGTGGAGAGAATCAATCCGAAGCCGGAGCCAGACCAAGCAGCGGCACTCATGAGATCTCTTTCTATCCAGCAGCTGCAAGAGATGATCACCAACACCATCAAGGCACAGTACGAAGGGAGCTCAAATACCTCCGAGTTGTACTCGAAGCCGTATTCAAAGAAGATCGATGCCTTAAGGATGCCGAGGGGTTATCAACCGCCAAAGTTCATGCAGTTTGATGGAAAAGGAAACCCGAAACAACACGTCGCCCACTTTGTTGAAACTTGCAACAACGCAGGGACCGAAGGGGACTACCTCGTCAAGCAGTTTGTGCGCTCGCTGAAAGGAAACGTCTTTGAGTGGTACACAGACCTAGAGTCTGAGTCCATCAACAGCTGGGAGCAATTGGAGCGGGAATTCCTCAACCGTTTCTACAGCACTCACCGCACTGTGAGCATGCTAAAGCTAACGAGCACAAAGCAATGGAAAGATGAGCCAGTCATTGACTACATCAACAGATGGCGCACTCTAAGCCTCGACTGTAAAGACAGGCTCTCAGAAACCTCTTCAATCGAGATGTGCATCCAAGGCATGCAATGGGGTTTGCAATACATCCTTCAAGGCATTAAACCACGGACCTTCGAGGAATTGGCCACTCGCGCCCATGACATGGAGTTGAGCATCGCCCATCATAGGAAGAAAGAACCGATTGCCGACTACAAGAACGACAAAGTTCTTGGGACAAAGGTGGAAAAGGCTACATGGAAACCCACCAAGGAAGCGATGACGGTCAACACAGCTCCCGTCAAAATCTCCACACGAGGCAAGGCGATTCAAACCGAAGCTTTTCGTGATCAAGAGATGCGTAGACACACTTTGAAGGAGCTTGAGGAGAATATTTGTCTTCTGCTTCTGGCACATAATTTTCAGACCCCAAAATCTTCAATTTCTTATTAAATTGTTGCACAATAATTGTACCAAATTATTGATTTTCTGCAATAAAAATTAGTTTGCACAACACCCTCATCTGTAATAAATTTTGAGTGCTGATATTACCATCCCAATGTTTTTCTTTTTTTACCCTCCATTTAATAAAATGTTAATGACATATTTATCCTTTTATAAAAAGAATTTAAAACCCCTAATTTAATTAATTACTAAAATTTTCAAAAAACAAAAAATAATTTAAAATAATAAATAAGGATGGGGTGGGGTGTGATATCTATGGTCAAGAGAGGCTGAGAAAGATTTGGGCTACAATCAACATAAAAGTTGGAGGAAGGAATGGGTGTGTGCTAGAAGGAAACGAGAAACTTCAAAGAAGGAGAAAGAGACTTGGCGGTGAGATCTGCGACTTTGATAGAAAAGTAGGAAGAAGAGTGGTTTGGGATCCGGGATTTCTGTGAGGCGGCGATAGGTGTGAGTATTGGGGTCAGCCAGGGGGTAGGGAATATTGGACCATAGATATGGAATTCAGTGAAAATAGAGGGTGTGGATCTGGAAAGAGATCGGGGTGGCATATTTGGGTTAGTAGAAAGATATATTTATGAAATGGATGCCATGATGTTAAGGATGTGCTTGGTTTGGAGGATGATGAATGTCCAGGTCTTGCATTTTCTTTCATTTTTCCATTCTTATTTATTTATTTTAATGTATTTAAAGACATGTTAGAGTTATTTAAAATAAAATATATTAGGTTGGAAATAATGGTGGGTGGGGAAATAACATTTACTTTATGTGAGATTATCATGTGGGAGAGAAAATAGGACACTGGGTTGAGTCTAGTAGCACTCTAAATTTTTATGTTGATTTAAATAGAGATGAGAAAGCCATTTAGTACTACGGTCTAGTGGTGTTGAGCCTAAAATAATCTCACAAATTCTAGAGGAAACACGTGGACTTTTGCCCAAGAAAGACAAAATTGCTCTCGTTAAATGGGCAGGCTTCTCAAATACTCCCATAGGTAGTTCACACCCTGAAGGTCCCTACAGCTGAATACGACTGCTCACAGCTCACCCGCCTTTGTCAAAGAAAAGTCGAAGTATTAAAGATAAGGATTAATTACCCAAATCCTATCTTTAATACATTCCCAATTGAAGCTTGACTTTATTCAAGTAAGTAATCCCTATTTAAATCAACTAGGAATATTTACTTCATTATCTCAAAATATTATTTCATATTTAATATCTTGAAAATGTTTCTCCATAAATCTTGGCCAATAGGATGCTGCCATGTATAGGGTAAAACTCTAACACTATGGCCGTCTCCCCTATATATATCCTCAATTTTACCAAATTTCAGTAAACTTTTACGACCTTAAAAAGTCATAAACACTTGCTCATTTCAGAGAAACTAATTTGGGCATCGGAGATCCATTGGTCTAACTCCCCACCTCGTGGGCGTGTGAAGCTTAGGTTTTTAATCAAATGTGTTGATTGTCTTGCAGGTGCATTTTCGTCAAAACTAAAGTGGTATTCATTTTCACTCGCTAGTTCATTGTGATACTAAGGGCGCCCATCTCTTTTAGCGTAAATAATATAATATCGTTTGTTAAAAAAAAAAAAAATAGAGACGAGGCAGCAATCGATCAATCGGATATTGGTTTTGTTTGCTTTGGGCTGTTATAATTATAAAGGTTTTGGAATGTCTGAAGAGTGCAGGATGATAATTTTCTCGACGGACTTTTGTTACACAAATAAAACAGCCTAATAAGATCGGAACGTGCTACTACATGGACTGCCAATTAAAGTAGAAAATACCAAAAATTTAAGGAGAACTAATAAAAAGTTCCTCACAAATCTTTTTTTTTTTTAATCAAAAAATACTTAGACAACTTTTTGTATTATTAAAAACATTTTTTATATCATAAGGACAAAAATCAAAAAATGAGTCACACGTCATGAGGGTTTTGAATATAAAAAATATCGTTAATAATAAGAAAAGATACATTTAATGATAAAGAAAGTACGGTCTAGTAATATTCTTCACTTGTAAATGAGAGATTCTTAAGTTCAATTCGCTCCAAAAATAAATTTAAACCATATTATTGCAAGACTATTGTGAGACTTAACCGCCCACTCGTCCACCCATTTAATGTAAACAATATCATTTGTTTAATAAAAAATACAAAAAATGTTTTGAGGGGCTTTTTATTAATTTACTAAAAATTTAAGCCTAATTTGGAGGGAAAAGAGAGAAACAGATATATAATTAAGGGTCAAATCTTTCTCCTATATAATAACTCAAAATTTGTTCCTTACAACTTACAAGAAAAACTAACGATTACAATTGACAAAATTATCGTCCTTCCAAGGTAGAATAAGGTCCTTGCAAGCCTCCATTCTTCCAAGGTTGAATTAACCGATTACGTCCTCCCACGCATGCCCTCATGATTCTTCCAAGGTCGAATTAGTCCCCTTCAAGCATGCCCTCATGATCTCCGCAAGCTTTGCGCACGCGTCCAGGCAAATTTGCATTCCCTACTTGCAAAAACTATGTTAGTATCTCATAAGCCACATCCATCTTGTCAAACCGTACCAGAGATTTCTCACCCCTCGGATTGACCTATCGAAATGACCTTCCTACGGATTTTAGTGTATTCCAAGGATATTAGTGAATCAAGTGTCATGGAGTTACATATCCGCATATTCGACTTTAAATGATTAAGAGTTTTATCAACTATAAGGATCGAATCCCATATGTCGCATGCAACGACCAACCAAACAAGATCTCAAAGATGACCTTGCATGCATATTTACTGCTACTATTACCATTCTCCCATGTAGAAATAAGGATAAAAATTCTTTGATCAAACAACCTATGATAGTACAAAGAATAAATCAGCCATCTGTCGTACCTCGTTAAGTTTTGGGGTTGACCATTCCCCAGTGATAGTTAATTGGGTGACCTCATAGCGAGAAGGCATACAAGTCAGCATTAAGCTTCCATCTTGGTAGCTTTCCTCCTCCAAAACAGGATCAATGACAAGGTTCTTTCCGAGACAAGACTGGACACCACAAATAGAACACTGTAAGTGAACGCAAAAAATTGAAGAACGGAAACAACTTTGATATGGAAGTCTCTACGACACACAAAATCATTTGTAAATCTAAGGACAAACGTGTCGAACTTCCATATATTTGTGCTAAATGACAGCTGATAGCACAATGTGCTATTTACAGCCTCTGTGGCAAAAACATTTTAGTGGAAAAATTATTTTTCTTACACGCATGAGCGTAAGGAGAATCAGTTTAGCAGACTTCAAACCATGCAGTACCAGAAAGAAGAAAAATCTTCCAAGAAACCAAGAAATTAATGTTTACTAAAGCCATGGTATATACTGACCAGCAATTTAGTATGTTAGATATCTAGCAAAGTGACAGATCTCTTATGCATGTGCACATGGATGCATAAGAAATGCCAATTTAAGCAGAAAGAGCCATAAATATAAATCATAAGAATTCTTCTCTGAAACAAATACTCACAGTACTATACTATGTGAATATAAAGAAAATGAGAAAACAGAGAAGTAATCTTGCTATTTAGTGGACTAGCCAAAAGAACAGAATAAATACAAAATGATGATCAAGGATCAGATTTATGTTCACTACTGTGCCATGTGCTCAAGTTTTACGAGTCTCAATTCTTACATATTCTGTAATCTGTACCGGGCAAGTTGTGCATAACTATGATGTTTGCGCAATAGTAAAAGAAAAAAAAAGTAAAAGATACATTGAACAGGGTAAGAGATTCAGCACCAAAATCTTTGATTTAAACTCGATTATGAAGAAAAAGTAGAGAAGGCCGCAAGTCTGGGCTAGATGCATACCACAGAAACTGAAGCAACAAGGTCATACATCATTATCCCGGCATCTGCTAGGGCAAGGCTAGCACATGATATGATTACAGGAAAATCACCTGCAACCAAAGTGAAAGCTTATAACCATGCACAACAAACTGAATGGCACAAATGAAGTCAAAGTCAAATGATCAGTGGCAAAGATGCACCGAGGATACAAGTACAACATAAAAATCATCGTTATTTCTAGATTTTAATCCCAAATGACTGGCAGAGATGCAGATGATATTACAACATAAAAATCATCATTACTTCTCTATTACTATAATTGCTTATGATCAAGTATACATCATAATTACACAAGCAAACTCATACAAGCACAAAGAAAGCTCTGCAACTTATTACATGTCAGTCTGTGAGCTAAGTAAGAGGTAATTATCAAGCAATTACTTTTCTTTTCCCAAGCAAAAACCATAGTGTGCCAAAATTGAGCCCAAGGAATAACAGGAAAGGGTCTGTTGACACTGAACACCACAAGCCATGGAAGCACCTTCGTATTTACATGTCTTATCAGATTCTTGTATGTTGGAGAAATTTAAAGTGAAAAACAGTACACACTCATTCAGAAGTTTACATGTTATACATTGACATATACATAAACATTCAACACAAACATATACATTTAGGTGGAGTATAATCTTATTCGTTCCACTAGAAATTCTCTTCTCTGTCCTTTCTGTTCCTCATTCCTTTTCTACATACTATTTTTTCCTCAACCTAGACGTACAATGGCAGAAAGAACATGAGTTTATATGTTAAAAACCAATTGAAAACTTACTGCCCCCAGATTCTAACACCAATGCAAAAACATCCACAGTAGTCTTCGGGAAAGTGTCCAATATTATTGCACCCTCTAAAGCTTTATGAAGCATAGACGAAAATTCTTTGTGGTCCGACCCCTAAAAAATTTGGTGTTCAAATATTAGTAACAATGGTTTCAAAGAGAGTGGTTAAAAAAAAAAAGGACCAGAAGAAACATTAAAACAAAGTCATATACCTGTCCACGAACTGGAGTAGCAAAAGTTGTATAGCTGACATCACAATTTAAGCGTCCTATATCACTGTACATCATTGCCTTCTTACTCTCTCTTGGTCCAAATCTAAACCAACCAAGACAAATAAAATATCAAACACCATTCATCGTCTTTGCATTTTAAATCATATGGTGCTGCGCTTACTCAAATGAATACTAGAGTAAAAAAACATTGACTGTATGAATCTCTAAATCAGATATACTCACACAGAAACAATGACCTTGGTATTTCCAAACTCTGCATAAGCTGATCCTGAAGCACAATTTACAGCACCAGTCTTGAAAACTGTAAATTACCAACAACTTGTTAGAGCAGTACTATTTCTCTTTCTCTCCTAAACCACATGATTCGGGCAGACTACTCATGCGCTTGTTGTAGGTCAGCCGATCAAACACACATCAATCCCACATTACATCAAATTCAAACATATCGAAAAATTTCATCTTTCAAGGTAGCCAACATACATTTGTACATCCACATTCAGTTAAAGAACCGAAAATTTTTCTGAACCCCGTAAAAGGATTAACGCAAATGGAGATCATAGCCAATCAATACAACAGAGTAACAAATTCCCAACTAAATCGAGCAGTCGAAAGAAAGACTATTTTTTACAGATTGATTCAACTCAAACCAAACTAAAACACAGTCATTAAGCACAGTTCTTTACATACATTACGCTATACAACAAAAATCAAAATCCCACTTGAACTGATTAACCAATTCAAGAACTCCATATTTAGACATGCAGAAGCAATAAAACAACAACAACCCACAACAGAGAATCGATGAAAATCATCCACAAAAATAAGAACAAGTGTAAAGGAATGAAATTTATGCGAAAAAATGGGAAGAAAGAAAAGGTCTTACAGGCAGGTCGGCATTGGTGGAATTCACGGCCGTCGGAGCGGACCCAATCGACGTCGTTGTTTCCAAAAATTAGAGATTTGGTCTTCTGGGTCGTCGGAGACGGCGCGTAAGTGCTTGGGGTTGCTCCACCTTTCCCGGCCATTTGCGGCGGCAGTCGAAACTCCCTGTTCTTCTCTTCTGTTCCCGTGCGTTACTGTGCGTTCGCTGCTACTTGGAGCCTTTTCGTTTGTCCTTCTTCTCCTTAAACGGTGCGTTCTGGCTAGCCGTGTTGGTTAATCAGTGGGCCGGACTTTGCCGTTGTTAAATTTTTGGGGCTTTTATTAAAGACCCGTTAGAGGAAATCTATGTGCACCGAGCATCCCCAAAAATACTAGTTAAATTTATTTAGGAAAACTAATAAAAATGATTTGAAAACTTTGAGTTTTAATGATAAAGATAAAATAAAAGGTAAAGTGAATAATATCAGGATTGATTTTTTAGTGTAAAAATGTGGTTTTTTATTAAAGTGAACAGTATCGAGTGTTTTTCGTTAAAGTTCCCAATTTATTTATGATGGCTAGGCAGGTACCCTCAAATGTTAATTTAGTTAGCCATCACTTTCAACCATATTAACTAAATCTTGAAGCTCACAAACAATGCAATTTTATAGTTTATACTGTTTATCAAAAATTTAACTTTATCTCTTCTCCTAACTAAATTTAGCTAGTTACTATTCATAAAGATACGATAGGCAGTCATTTAGCTAGCATGTCGGAGTTTTTTTTTTTGCAATTTTTATATTAAAGTAGTCAAAAAGCCTCATATAGCTCGGCTATTGAGATCCTCTAAACGAAACATGATCCTCTCCGAATCCTTTTCTCAGGATCCTCCGGATGCATCAATCTTGTCCGTTCAACCGCAAATCGAACGGTCAAAAGACCATCACCCGTGTGCTGACAGCAACAGAAGAGGAAGAAGCAGCAGGATTGCAGAGAAGGAAGAAGAACTGAAGAGGAAGAAGCAGCAGCAGAACCACATAGGAAAAAGAAGAAGAAAGGTGTTGGGGGAGGATCCGGAGGATTCGGACAAAAGGAATTTGGTAAGGATCCAATCCCCCTCTAAACACCAATTTATTGGGTACGTTAGGACCAAGTGAAATATAATTTTTAAGGAAAAATACCAAGCCCAACCAATTTCTTTGGATCAAGTCATACTTTGTGACCCAAGACGTAAGAATTGTGTATTTTTCATGGTTGCCCTCATTGCAGAAGACCCAGACCCACCTAGCTCATTCGCCGATGAAAGGTCTCCGGAAATTTTACTAATAAAATATACAAATAAAATTTGGCTATAATACAAATTATTCTCTTCTAAAACCCGGTGGATGACTACTGTTCATTAACAGTGGGCTTCCTATTTCACCCTTTGTTTTCTTCATGTTTTCTGGTGTTTTTCCAAGTTGTACAGTAATTTGGCCCTTTTGCCCTCTTCTTCTTTTTGTTCCCGCCTGTTGGTGATGCTGGAAGCATGTTTTTGTTGATTTTGGTTTACATTATGCCACGTGTTGATCATTCCTTGCATTTGGCTTTTCAGCTCTTCTCTTTTATTCTTTTTTTCTTTCCCGCACGTTTGCTCTCTCATTTCTCTTTCTTTTTTGTTCTGACTTCTGCTTTTTTCTCCCCCCCTTTGTATTGCTGCTTGCAAATCTGGGTTTGCAAGCTCTTCTCTTTTATTTCTCTTTTCTTTCATGCATGTTTGCTGTCATATTTTCCTTCTTTTTTTTTTTGCTTTCGACTTCTACTTTTTCTCTTCTTTTTGTATTGCTGCTTGCAAATCTAGGTTCGTAAGTTTGGTCCTCAATCTGGTTTTGTAAGTTTGGTCCTCATTTTTGTTGTGCTTTTTACTTTTGATTTTGTTTTGCTTTGGAGCTTTTGTTTTTCCTCTGCAATTGTGATGTTGTTTTGCTAACTATGATGTTCTTTTAATTTTTCCTTTTATCAATTTATCTGGGTATTATATCATATGTTTTAGTGTTCACTTGAATTTAATTTTTTTTTTTTTGGCTACTTGGTTTTGCTTCTGTTTAGAAAATGTACTATGATATCTGTTAATATATCACACCATATAAGTCTTATATATACTATATCAAGTGTTGTTATTAAAGTGATGATGGTGGTGTTTCTGTTTATAACCAAATAAGAACACTATTAAATCAATTGTTTTTCCTACTGCAATTTAACAGCAACTACTTTTATTCGAATGAATGGTTGTTCGCTATCGATTTTGAAATCAACATGACTAATCTACACCTACTTTCATATTGATTGACCGTATTGATTGACCAAAGAAATCTTATGGTTTGGATTTCACTTGGCTGTGAATATGAACCATAATTCAGAGTAGAAAAGATAAGGTTCTTTGGTGAATCAATTATGGTTTAGATTTGACTAGGCTGTGAATCTAACACCGCTACTTTCATTCAAATGAATGGATGTTTGCTATCAATTTTGAAAGCACCGTGACTAATCTATATCTACTTTCGTATAAAATCACCATATTGATTCACCAAAGAAATTTTATCATTTAGATTTCACTAGGCCGTGGATACCAACCATAATTCATAGTAAAAAACAAAAGGTTTCTTTGGTAATCAATTATGATTTACATTTGACTAGGCTGTCAATTTAACAGCATCTACTTTCATTCAAGCAGTTTGCTATCCACACTAAGCCGTGGATACCAACCATAATTCATAGTAAATAACATAAGGTTTCTTTGGTAAATCAATTATTATTTACATTTGACTAGGCTATCAATTTAACAGCAACTACTTTCATTCAAGCAGTTTGCTATGCATTTTGAAATCACCATGACGAATCTACTCCTACTTTCATACTGATTCACTAAAGAAACCTTATAATTTACGGGTTGCAAAACATATGTGTATTTACTTATTGAATTGGCTTTGGTTTTACAGGTTGCAATTGCTTCAGTGGAGAGAGTATTTTCTGCCATGAATATCATTAAGAGTCCACTCCGCAACAGAATGGGGGATCAATGGTTAAAAGATAACTTAGTTGTTTACATTGAGAAAGATGTTTTTTCTTGTATTGACAATGAAACTATCCTGACACGTTTTCAAAGTATGAAATCCCGTCGTGGACAAATTTAGTATTTCTAGCTTGTTTAGCATAAAGATTATGAATGAAAAGTTGTAGTTTGTCATTTATTTGTTCACCGCTATTTTCGTCTTTTTTTTTTAGAGAGCTTTTATATTGGGAGCACCCTATATTAAAATCCTAGATCTGCCATTAGTTCTAGCTAACCACATTTGGTTAGCCACCCACCCTACTAAGTTTGACTTATGCGCAGATACCTTGCTGGATGAGTTTTTTTGGCGATTTGAGTAAAAAAATTACTTAAATTTTGGTCAAGCTAGATTATCAAAGTAATGTGACTCAATTAAGATATTGGAGAAAACTATATTTTTTCAATAATCTACAATGATAATATTAGGCTCCACTAGCTTCAACTCACGTGTAGTGGATAATGTGTGACAGCCCTTTGTAAATGCTTTGCAATCACTAAACAACATATCAATCTCAAATTGTGGATTGTCCAAGTTTGTGTTTTCATTAAAATCTTGCCACGTCTCCTAATCATTCTCACTATCATTGTGCCTAGGGTCATTGAATCTTCCATCTGGTCACCATTGTCAACCTCGCAAACAATTTCCTATTCACCCTTACCATTTGTTTCATTTTCTTTTACGGTCCAACCCACTATTCTCTAAGGGGTGTGATATCCACATATCCCATTTTACTTCTCACACACTTTCTTAATTTTCGACCGTTGGATCGGATGAATTGAAGAAGATCAATAGATAGAAATTATCAAATGGTGTGTGAGAAATAAATGGGGTGTGCGGATAGCACACCCCTTCTCTAAAGTCAACAAATTCCTTGAATCGTAGATCATCCTCATGCATGGCATAATCACTTTCTACAAACTCCAAACGACTACAATCATCTTGCTCTGATTCTTCACATGAGTTATAAATGATAGGCTGCTCACCACATAGTCTAGCACTCTTCATTGTACCCATACTAGATGATGTTCCCATAGCCACAGGTTCTCCAAAATTACCCTTTTCGTCAGCTCCAGTAATCTCAACTTCATCATTCACATAAGGGTCTTGTGCATTCACATTACCTTCTTGATCATTAGCAATATCTATTAACATAGTTTCACCAATTGTAACTTCATTACCAATGTCACCCTTAACACAAACATTACTCCCAACTTAGGTGGATGAACAACAGAAACTTCTTCTTTAGTTTGGTATACGTGGAGGTGATCTAAGAATAAATTTATGTCCCTTGCAAAAGGAATGAGGTCACACTTACAAACCACATCGAAATCTTCCTTCAGTAAAGTTAAAACCCGTTGACACCCTCCCCTGAAAAGCTTGTAATAATAATCAATATTTTTTATCAACATGTCATATCGTTATCAGAATAGTAAAGGAGTTCACATTTCCATTGACATGGTAGGTTACAAACATTAAAACACCATGATACATTCTAATTGTGAAATGTGCTGGATCAGCTAAAAACCAACATAATATAGAAACATTTAGAACATTTAATCAAGGGATAGAATAATACTTCATGCATGCGAACTGTACACATAAAATGATCACACATGTTCTCTTGAATATCAAACACACACAAGACAACATTTTTTTTCAACTAATATTACCTAAATATACTTACCACTACACCCACACATACACCACCAACAACATTCACTTCCTCAAACTCCATGACTATCTTTTATTTATTAGAAATTGTGTGCCACACGCAGCACTAACAAACAAATTGAAACAAAATAAAACTGCTAAACCACTTTATATTTAACATCAACCTAAAAGATAAACATTTCTACTCTGTAAATATAGGGTGGCGCAGCCTTGGTATTTATACAGTCTATTGATACAAATACTAATTCGACTTCGGTTATACAGAAGTAGTAACAAGGAATCTAAAACAGCAGGATTTCGAGTCGTTCTAGGATTACCAGGAATCCAAAGACTATTGATGCAATACTTATTGTGTCCTCTCTTCGACACCCAATCTTCAAAGAGTGAAATAAAAATATTAATAAATATGCATGTAAACACAAATTAAAATCAAATTAACCAAATTGAAATAGTTAGATCAAATGAAGATTTGAGTCCACCAATTATTACACAAAACAATTCATACAAAGTAGGCTCATAAGAAAAGGTAGCACTATGGTGGTGGAGGAGGCCCAGGCTCAAACAGTGGAGGGCAACAACATTTAAATATACCGCAGCAGCACAAAATCCACAAACTGCATAATCAAAACCAAATTTCAAAAGTTAAATTTTAACTTTTTAAAAAAATGCAGTAGAATTGTATATTTGAAAAAATTCTCCAATGCGGGTAAATTAATCTTGCGGGATGTGACTAGTTGTATTGGGCTGGCAGCCGGCATATCCTCAAATCCCGCTAGATTTATCCCGCATTAGAGAAAGCTCCCATTGTACACGATGTAGACCAAAAATATTAAGTGAAAAGAACTTACCATAAATCCAAGCATCCTGCTTGGTGATAAGGAGGAGGAGCGGGGGCTAGCAGCGGCGTGGTTGGCTGTGGTGGCGGTGGATCCATCTCTGGCACTGATATTGGCAGGTGATGGGGAACAAAGTCCAAAGAAAAACTTTATATGTAAGTGATCCAACAAACCATGCTATCTATCCCCAAGTCATAGTCTTCCAACTACCATTCAAAGAAGTTCAAAGTCTTTGCATAATGTTTGCTCAACTAACAGCACTTGGAAGTTTTGTGTACAAAAATGGATGGGCATCTTCTGAACTACTACTCCTCCCTAATGGCTCAACTACTGAACCACGAAAATTCGGAGTATAAAGGTACTATTGAGTACAAATCGAACGGTTAAAAGACTTGGGAGTATATTAGGAAATCCCAACGAAACTAACTCCATTTTCTTAAGACATGTATGATAAAGTATGAAACAGTCAAGTTTCAATACTGGATCCTTTACCATAAGTGGACGAATATTCATTGACAATTGGGATCATTAAACCATCTTGTCTAGGTTAGAATCCTTTTTTTTTTTTTTGAGGAAATTGACACAATTTATCACAGTCAATAAGTTGTTATAAAGATATATTTCATTTTTTGGGGTAGAGGCCCACAAGTGAGTGATTGCTAATCATTGAGCGTGAGAAGTTTATCACATTCGATAGTCATAATTAAGATATTTGATTTCTTGAAATAATCGCTCATGCTGATGTTCCTGGACGCAACTTAACTATAAAAGGAAATTTAAACGATAACTTTAGATTAGAAAACTGGAATCTACTAGAAAGCATGAGAAAAATCTCAAAGTTTATAATTGAATAATATGAAAGATAACAACCCTAGGTTCCCAACACCACATAAATATGGTTATATGCCCTACAAAACAAGGCTCTGCTAGGATATTCTAATGAGATGCAAAATACAAAAATAAAATAATTATGAACACGCGAAGAATATTTTTCAAGTTGTTCTTTAATCTATTTTCTGTTCTACATCATTCCTAACAAATTAAATGAAATGAGTAATTTGTAGTTAGCATTTTGAGCTGTTACTTTGACCAGATTGCAACAAAACAATTATGTGCAACCGCATGCGGCATGGAAAAATGTCTAGTGACCATGTGAGAGCAGTTATAGGTTTGACTTTTTAATTTCAAGATGATATATATTCTATACTAAATTTACAAAAATAAGAATTTGAACTTAGGTACAAACAAATAAACTATCTTGACCAACTGATCTAATCTGTCTGCATATGCGACCACAACTGTTATCCCAAGCATTCCATGTTTTTCTTTTTTTGTGTTGCTTCAGGATAAATAGGATTATATGAAAATATGAAATGGAACCATTTTGCTGGTCCCCGGGTGATGGATATAGTTGTAAAGTTTGGCTGCTTCAATCGGTTTGCAGGTTATTTCGTGGTAATTTTGAGTTTTGGTGTTGCTATAATGTTGTTTGTTTGTGGTTTAGCTTTGTTTATCATTTGATACTTTTAAAGATGGAAGTTTTAACGAAAATCCCACAGTACTGTTCATTTTAACGAAAAACCATATTTTTACACTAAAAAATCAAACTTGGTATTATTCACTTTACCCTTTATTTTGTCCTTATCATTAAAACTCAAAGTTTTCAAGTTCTTTTCATTAGTTTTCCTTTTAAAGATATGTATATTCTATGAACTAGGTATCAGTTGTTATTTTGTAGTGCTAAATTGGTGATGTGTGTGGTTCGTTGCCTTTGGGTTCCGAGCTTCTACGGCTAGCCATCCCTCACATAGACTTCTTAGGTTTTCTCTACTAGCCACTTTTAAGCCTCTATTGGTTGGACCACTTAGAAGGGTATTTAATTTTGGGTTGAAACCCCGTATGCATTTCAATTATTCATCGTTTTTGTTCTCGATGCATAAAGAACTATTACTCATGCTTTATTGCATCAGTTGCTTTCTTTTTTTTTTTGTATGCTAGTTCTTTTTAGGGCTCGTTGTAAGTTGTTATATGTTTGGACTTTGTTTAATGAATTACTCTCCTTTGACCAAAAAAAAAAGGGAACCAATATGCTTTGAAAACTATCTTTTTGCATTTACTGAGTTACAAGCAGCATACCATCCTTTTCATCTCCTAACATATTTCAATTTCTATAACTTCTGTACAACCACCAAACAACATATACAGCCTATGATTTTCTTCAAAGAAAAAAGTATAGAAAAAAAAAAAAAAATCTTCAGAAACCCGCTTGCTTCCTCATGATTTCTTCGAGCAACCGACCGCAAACAAGTATCTGAACCAAGCTTAAAATCTGGTTTCCATCCTATCCGTGCTCGTGCTACGTTCACAGTTTTCCCCTGTCATGAGGGCTTACCACTTGTTACGCAAAATGACTCAAACCTGGGCTCAGTTAAATCCACCGTCTCATCATCGTTGGCACGACAACTCCTGGCATTTGAAGTCAAGAGGATCAATCTCTCCATATAGTTATCTGAAAGAGAATCTGTATCTCTTTCAGCACAGAGATTACGGTCAATGTCTAGTGGCAGTGAACAACGAACTGAACTTTTATTGGATTTCGCTTGCCTTAGCTCCTCAGCATCTTTATGGCCATCCATGCTTATGTGCTGAGCAGAAGAATACTCAGGTCAAGACTTTATACGCATTGCTCAAATCATACATTACGAAGAGATGACTCCACAGGACATATGAAAAGTTAAAAATGACATAAACGACAGAGGTGCGGAAAAACAATGTAACATTTCAGTGTACAAGAATTACCTCAAAAAGGTTTGCAGAAAAGTTTTTCCTTTTAGATCTCTCTGGTGAAATAGTCGAAAGGATTTGAACAACCTCACTCATGTTTGGTCTAGCATCAGGATCCAACAGTAGGCATTCTTTTGCCAAGTAAGCCATTATCTGCATCTCCTCTTCCGGGAAGTTTCCATCTAAATCTGGATCGGCCAACTCTGTGATTACTCGCTTACTATCCTGTAAACGAGGCGTAGCCTACAACAAAGACAAAAATGTTCATAGGCTAACATCAGTTTTTATTAACCCATAGATGTATTTCTGAACAAATTATTTATGATAAAGACTCATAGTAATTAGCATAGTGGTAACAAAACGGAATTTCATGCAAAAAAATTGATGGATATACGTTCCTAGTAATAAAGTTTAGCATTTTCCTTACCCATATGACAAGGCTTTCTTCTCCCTTGTTGGTTGATTGATGGATGGGCTTCCGACCAGTGATAAGCTCAAGAAGAACCACACCAAAACTGAAAACATCTGACTTAAGAGATGCTCTGCCAACAATTGCATACTCCGGTGCAAAATAACCAAAAGTCCCCTGCATTCTAGCTGGAGAACTAGATGCACTAGGGAGACCATCAGCTTTCAAGCGTTTCGCCATACCAAGATCAGTTATCTGCACATATATAATAAATGTTTCAAAATATAAGATATGCATGCCAACTATCAGCTTCAAATTAGGTTTATCTTTCATTTCCTAAAAGCAAAACAAACTGTGTTCGTAGCTAAACTGCCATAATAGTTATTTCCCTTGTTTCATTATAGAATCGAAGATTTCAATCCATGTCTCAAATAATCACTTCTTACTTTTGCTTGCCAATTTTCATCCAGAAGAATGTTAGTGGATTTGACATCTCGATGTAGAATTCTTGGAGCAGCTGCTTCATGGAGATATTCCAAACCCCTTGCAGCTCCAATGGCAATTGAAACTCGAGTGACCCAATCCATGTTTTTCCCTTCATCCCCATCCAAACAATCTCTCAGGTTACCGTTATTCATGTACTCAAATACCAATAGCCTCTCGGCATTTTTTCCATGGGTTTCAAAGCAGTACCCAAGCAAAGGCACCACATGAAAATGGTGAAGTCTTGCTAACATCTCAATCTGAGGAAAAAACAGATAAGTAAACTTATTTATTCTGCCAAGAAACCAATAAAGAGGATGTTGACGTATATCGAGAAATGTATTGAATGATGAGGTACTACCTCTGTTAAAAAGACAGAGTCCATATCTGGCCCTTTCAGAGCTTTTAGACGCTTAACTGCCACAATTTCACCATCTTTAAGCTGGCCACGATAGACATAGCTACTGCCGCCAAGTCCTATTAGATTGGAGTCTGAAAACTTATTGGTTGCACTTTCCAGTTCAACATATGAAAATTGAATAATTGCTCCAGGTGTAGCTCGGGGTTTGCTCCTAAATACGCAAGAGGTAAAGCACCCTGTGAATTGAAAAAGAATAGTTATAGCAGTTGCTGTATGGCGAAAAATATACAAATAAAGGGCCCAAGTTTAAAGGAGTACTAGGAAGTGAACAGCCCGAAAAGATGAGCGGGTATATAAATATTAAGAAAACAAACTCTGCTAAAACAGTCCATAGATTAAATTACCTGTGCCTTTACTGATGGGAGAATCCATATTAATTTTGGTCTCAAACAATGAGCTCTTATAGCTAATTAAGTTGGAAGCACTATTGCAACTTGTTTCCGTGTCTGACGAAAATATTGGCGGTTGAATAGAGCACTTGGCCCTTCGGCAGAAGTAGCATGCCACCGAGGAAATAAAAGCAAGAGTTGTGAGTATGACACATGCTAAAAGAATAATCACAACAACTTTGCTCGGAAGACGGTTTTTTGAATGCTGTGCTGCATTGAGATATCCTGTTAACGAGCAATACAGAACAAGTCACAATTAAATGACATAGCAAAAATTTGGATGTATGTAAACAAGATTATCTAAAGCATGTCCATGTGGAACAGATTATGGATGCATCAATACATGTAAGTCAAAGATGGGATGTCGCAAAAAATGGGTTGAGCGTACAAAGGAATCATGCAGTAAACCAAAATTCATGGTCACAATCAATTTAAAAATAGCATGAATTTCGATATTTTTGGTAAAGTGTATCAGTTGACCAATAAATGAATACATGATGCAGACTTCAGAACATGATACATTTCCTGGTTCTATACAGTTTGTCCAACGTATAACTTAGTATTCTACCGCCTAGAAACAACTTATACTGAAAGGATTGTTAAAAAGAAACATTTGTGAGTGTGTGTGTGTGTGTACGCGAGAGAGAGAGAGAGAGAGAGAGTACCATAAGTGCAGTTGCAGGCTGTAAAACAATTAGGATCATGACCGTCTGCTGCCACTTTAGGAAGCCCATTCGCAGCACATATGCATGTCCATGTAGTGTTACTTCCAGCATCTATATTAAGGCAAATTGAACCATTGTTATACACCATACATTACAGGCAAAAAAACAGGTGTATAAAAGTATTCCAGTCACCAAAACAAAAGGATCTTTCTTAACCAACGCAATTAACTCCTAACATGCAAGGATTTAACCAAAGCATTTTTTGATATATAAAACTAACTTACAAAGACCTTCTACCGAAACATTGAACGAAAAAATACAAACGGTTACTCAAAGCCATTATTCTTTCAATTTGAACATATAAAGAATCTCCTATGTGCGCAGAATAATCACAAAGTGCACTCAAGAACATATTTGACATAATATTCTAATATGTATTGACTGGAAACTGTTATAAACAGAACTAAATATAAAGAGATGGCAGAAGGGACAAGTGTAAAATTCTATCGGCAATAATGTTCTATCAAAAGAAGTGTAAGCTTTTGGTGATTGTACCATAAAGATCAGTGGCATACCCTGACTGCAATTACAGGATGCCGAACAGTAAGGTTCTAGAGTGTAGCTCAGGTTTCCTTGATATGAGCATCTACATGTCCAGTCTGTTGCATTGGAAGTACTCGAAACCTCATCTGCTGCAATAAATTATCCAAAGAGGATTCGCAGATACTGTTCAAATGATACTGAATTACAGATTCAAAGGCAAGGATGGTGTGCCTTGGATTTACCATCATGCAATATCAATAACTTTTAATGAGAAAATCAATACTAACCGCAAACACTTTGCTGAATCACGATCAAGGTTATGAGACAGGCAAGGGAAACTTTCACTTGGAACTTCATTTATTCTAACCTGAACAGTATGACGATATCAAATTGAAACATTTTCAGGTCCTAATGAAAAACTCAAAATGAACAATTATGTAAGCATCCAGTAATATCGGTTTCCCTAAAAATGCTGCAAAATGCAAACAGCCTGACACCGATACAACAAACTGGAAAGATAAAAAATTCAAGCCATTTACATTGCAGATAATGATTCCAAGAGATTAAGGGAAAAGGAAAAGAAAACTAAAATCTGATGTGATACTCTCATAAATCTGAAAGGCATATATAATCCAGAATCAAACAGTTGAAAGTTAGTCAAGCGTGTAGAAGTAAAATAAGACAGGGAGGTGTTGTTAAATTCATGGTTGGCCAACAAATTGATAGCAACCCACTTTGCTATGCACTCAAGCAAAATATGTAGTACAACATGAAGTTCGATTATGCGGTATTGTCAACACAAAATTTTGGCAAAAATGACTTCACAAAGTTATTGTTGACCCATGGTTAGGGGTAGCTATACCCAGTCTCATAATTACACACAACTAAAAACATAAATGCAGAAATTACCATTAAAAAAAAAACCACACTGCATTACTCATTTATACCTGTAACTGCGGTAGAGTTGCATCAAATAAGAAAAACCGGAAAATTCAAGGCTTGCCGGTTGGGGATCAAGCAGAAATTGCCCCAACAAATGAGCGACTGCCCCATCCATCATCAATGCATTTCTGCTTGTAGCAGTCCCGGTCCTATCTTAAAACTAATTAAATCCCGGTCCTATCTTAAAACTAATTAAACTGCCTCCTCAAACAGTATACAAAAACTTAAAAAAGGAACAAGGTTCCTACAAACAAAATTATACTTTCCTTACAGTAACTCTATAAGACTTTAAAAGTGACATTGCTTCCAAACAGATAGAAAGTATAAAACTTGAAGAGAATTAAGGACAATCAGCACACCTGAGAAAGTAAAGAACCGCAGCAGAAACAGCATATTAGTAACTTGACCTTGACTTGCAAAATACAAAATCAAAAGGAACAAGCATCAAGCTCAAATTACTAAAAATATCGCAACTCCCACCCACATTCTTTTACCTTCAGAGTTTAAACATGAGTACAAGTACACAAAGCGGAGCATAGCAAACCCATTATAAAACGACGAGAAAGGTCTAATATACGCAATCTCTTCAAAGATGATGGGGTGAATCTAGAAAATGGACAATGCCGAAAGCACATTTGACACGAACAGCGGGGAAAGAGACAAATGGGGTTCATGAATTAATGGAATGGAGAATAGGAAACTCAAAGCAAACCCAGCAACCACCTCTCTGAAAGCTGCCCTTTTGCAAACCAGAAAGAGACCCCTCAGCTGCACCTAAAATCCAATCCAACATTATCCATCGAAACCCCACAATCTGTTAAATTATAGCAAACGTGGGCTCATTACTAATATACTAACCGAACTCTCCAACCTTTTCAAATGAGAAATATTCAGACACCCCAACGGCTAAATAACGGTTATAGTTTATCGAACACTTTTACTTAGCTTCAGAGACGGACAATCAGACATACATGTATAGATACTGGGTCCGTAAAGCGAACAAGGGTTGAGCTCACACTGGGTCCTACCAATCTGTCGGCTGTCGGAAGTGGGCCCAATATTGGGTCATTGTGGGCTCCATATTGGGTCGTAGTGGGCCCTGCGTATATAGACAGCGCGAATGGGGGTGATGGGGGGTGGCATAATACAACCACGGTTGAGAAAATGCTACACAAACCCTACTCACCAACCAAACTATTCCAAAAGAGTAAAGACATAAACTTTTTTGTCAAATTATAGTCACCAACCGTGCCTTTCATTATTCTTTAAGTTAAATGAAGTTTCTAAATCCGTGCATACAACAAATGAAAATTCAAAAATTTTGGATGTTGTTTGTTGGGAAATCTTCCATTGATATGTGAACAAAACTTCCTTTCCAAAAGAAGATAGCTTTTTTCTTTTTGACCAAGCAAATTCTGATCAACTAACCTAACCCAGTTGCGCAAAATCAAAGTTTAGGAGTAGAATATGAGAGCGAACGTAGTGACGTGCTATTGACTTCATAAAAAATAGTTAATAGGTTAGTAGTAACATACACTTAATTATTTCCTCGGAAAAAATATGTACTTAGTTACTAAAACACCCAAGAGAATGCTCATAAATACATTTGAGTCCAATAACCAGCGTTAATTTTCTCGTCCGCCAGAAGCTGAAATGAGTCCACCAGATCCGTACAGAGAGAAATAGAAAATCGAAAAGCAAAAAACGGCATGGCATGGAAATCGATTAACGTAGTGACAATTTGGATATATTTTTACCTTGACAAAAAGTGATTCTGAAATACGGCTGCTTCTGCGATTTCGAGGTGCCTCCGTTGGTGCTAGAGAAGCTGGAAAATCGGGTCTGATGAAGCGCTTTTGAGAAACCTAATCGGCTTTTTGACCTCAGGCATTTCGGATCTGGTAATCCAACGATAATATAGAAGAAATGGAGAGAGAGAGTCAGAGCGTCTCCATTTTTAAGTGCGAGAAGAAGCTGCCGATGGAAGCTGCTGCTTCTTCAGCTGAAGATAGACAGTGAGAGTGTGAAAGTGAGAGGGTTCTTTGCAGAGAGGGAGAAAGAGACATAATAATGAGAGATAATGCAATTCGACCGAGGTGGCTCAGTCTTGCTTTCCGAGGTGGTCCCACTTCATTATATATTTTGTTTTACTTGTTACTTTTAAAGAATGTAACGTGGCACTTCGTGTATAGGAAAAATAGGTGAGATTTTTTAATATGATCGATACACAGGATGGTACATTACGTGTTATTATATAAATTATGAGATTTGTGTGTTAAAAATTTAATAACTTAAAAAATAAAATATCCCACCACGCCTATTAAAATACATGGTGTACCACTTGTATTCCCATAACAACTAAAAATTTCTCGAAAAATACAAATTGGTAGATTTTTTTTTCTTGAAAAAATAGGACATTGAGTAATGCTAGGAAGACTAAATTTTTTAAACCAAATAATGTGTCACAAATAAGAAACAAGCACGTTAATCGACACTTAATTAATAATTCAATTATCTACAATCACATCATTTAATTTGCAAATTTGGTTTAAAAAATTTTGTCTTCCTAAAATTATTCATAGGATATCTGGTGGCAAACTACGATTATCCATCATTTCGAGTTTAGAGAGACTATAGGGAATTTTACTCTATCCGTGGTCATAGTTAAAGAAATTCATCAATTCAGAATATCGAACCCAAGACCTTCCACATTTTCTTTGTTTTATTGGTAGAGAGCTAAGAATAGACATAAAAATCGTGGAAACGAGAAATTGAATCACATCGGGACAAAATAACCGTAAAAAATGGTGGAACCAAAACAAGTCGACTTAGGTTCAAGATGGACTTGACAGAGGAAGAGCAAATCACTTTGATCGAGATTTTTGGAAGGTGTAGTGTTGCTAACCACAATGTCTTCTAAGCCATGGATTTCAAGAACATCCATAAAATGGGACCGCCATGAGAGATAATTGTTGCGATCTACGGGGGTGGTTATCATGTGGGAGACATTGAAGGAGGTGGGAAGAGAGGCAGTTGGGGTGGCCATGAGAGAGGTGTGAGGTGGCTGCAGTGGGGATTAGATAGGATCGTTAATGGGGGAGTATTAGCTCTGGAAAAAAGCTGATACCATATAGAAGTAATAAAAACAACAAATACGTGATTCATGTATATGTTGAATGGTCTAAATTTACGATACATATTCATGTATCTGCTGAATGGTCTAAATTTATGATACATATTTCATCATATAGATGGGTTAATCATCTTATGAATACTACTATATTTAACACACGGGGCAAATGAAACACTCCAAACTCTTGCTATCTTTCTAACTAAACACACCAATTATGAAGGTTGAAATTACTCGATAAAATTTGGGCGAAGGTGGTGTTTGGTGCTGCCATGGCTTCCACGGTGAAGAAGTCTAACCATGAGGGCGGAGCAAGTGAAATGATGTTGCAAAAGCAACGAGGAGGAGAAAGGCTGGAGAGAGATGCTAAAGAGATTCTTAAAATTGATTCTCTTAAAACTATGACTCTCTATGGACTCTCTGCCATCTCATGTTAGCACAATTTTTTATAATGTTAGCATGAAAATTAACGTTAAATTGTGAGGTGACAAAAAGTTCATAGAGAGTCCCACTTTGAGAAAGTCCCCTTAGCATTTCTCAAGAATGAAAGAGGGAAGACGTTGGGATGAAATGAGATGTTTGGATATGTGGTTAACATTGTGTTTGTTTCCCTCGCCCCCTTAGCGTAGATACTGTGAGGTGACAAAAAGTTCATAGAGAGTCCCACTTTGAGAAAGTCCCCTTAGCATTTCTCAAGGATGAAAGAAGGAAGACGTTGGGATGAAATGAGATGTTTGGATATGTGGTTAACATTGTGTTTGTTTCCCCCGCCCCCTCAGCGTAGATAATATCGTTTGTTCAAAAAAAACAAAAAAAAAACCACACATTATGTTTGACTACATGATTGTAGAATTATAGTTATAGCAAGTGTTTTGTTATCATTGGGCCACTTCATATGGTCAAGCATTATCCCTTGAACAAGCAATTTGAGATGTCATAAATATATCGTTAAAACATGAAAATTCACATCTATAATATTAATTTCGAAAATCCTCTATATCAACAAATCAACAAGAGAGTAAAATAACTAGGGGCGGGCTCGAAAAAACAAAAAAGTTCAGACCAAATACCGAAACTAAAAAAATCGAATTGATTGAAAATTGAACCAATACTAATATAACCAAACTAAATCGAAAGTTATTAGTTCAGTTTCGGTTTTGATGGTTCAAAAATCGAATGAAACCAAATTGAATGAATATGAATTATTATTTATTTATTTATACTGGGTGTTCATTTTTCAAACTCGATTCCAAGTTAACTATTAGCATAAGGGGTGTGATATCCACACACCCCATTTTACTTCTCACACACCTTTTTAATTTTCGACCATCGGATCGGATGAATTGAAGAAGATCAACGGACATAAATTATCAAGGGGTGTGTGAGAAGTAAAATGGCATGTGTGGATAGCACACCCCTTAGCATAATTTCAATCTAAGGCTAGGGAAACCTAACTTTAGGTCCAAATATGTTGAAATCTTTATTCTTTAGGTTTTTTTTTCTTTGTTTGTATCATACTTAGGGCCTCCGTATTTAGATCTCGTATAAATACTTGGAGGACTCAAATGTAATTATGTAATAAAGGAATGGGCAAATATGTAATAAGTGAGGAGCCCTTATTCTATAAAAGGACTTATCACCCTCACAATTAGAGGAAGCCAACTCCTAGGCCTTCTCACCCCCTCTCAAAGCTCTCACTCTCAGAGCTCTCTCTCCTTCAGATAAATACATAATCAGTGTGGACGTAGCCCAAACCTTGGGGTGAACCACGATACATCTTGTATTATTTACATTTCTTGCAGATTTACGGTCGAATTTACGTTGTTCCAAGACCTCTGGTTTTGTGCATCAACATTTGGCGCCGTCTGTGGGAATCGACACAAAAAACTATGTCGGTTCTCTCTCAATTTTTCATCTCACCACCGTGAAACCTTCACAACCTCACCACTGTCCACCGTGAAATCTGTAAAACCCAAGAAACCAAACACCTACGGAGGGATTGAAGAATTTGACTCTTTCTCTCATCGCCATGCAATCCCTCCAATCATCCACTCGCTACCGCCTTTAGCCTCCACGCGATACCACTAGTCAGCAATCACGTGCGTCTGTCGTGCTCTTGTGTCTATGTCTGCTTGAGGCGAGATCGGTCCAAGGGGTGCGTTGGGGATCTCTAATATTTCGGTTGCCGCCTAGCGTCTATAAGGGGAAGGACACATACCCCACGAGATCGGTCCATCGTATCATTCATCTCGCCGCCATCTCCTTTCTCTCGCTGATCGTTGGGCCGGGTCGTCTGCAAGGACCACAATAAGCAGAGCTCATTTGAAGTTCGAAAGCCCGATCTGAGATGCAATTTCCAGAATCTGGTTCGCCCTGGAATCCGACAACATCCTCACCTCTTCTCGTGATCGCAGCAGCGACGACTAGACCTTCGTGAGTTTTGCTTGGTGACGTCTTCCTCATGCCCTCTCAACCTAATCACCAACACAAAACCCAAACCATGCATCGTTGTTTTCGTCGTCATCTTTCCACGACGTGGTCAAACATATTGTTCTCCTCTCTTGGTCCACCTGGGATGGAACATGGCCGCAGCCTTTCAGTCACTATTCTGCAAGATGTTCAGGAACTAAGAACTATGAAGAAGATAAAGTTGCAACCGCCATGGCTGCTGCTTTTCACTACCCTCGTAGTACTCATACGTATCTCTATCACTTCCATCTTAACCGTCTCTTTCGCAGGGAGAGTTGATCCACGACCAACACAACTTCTCCGGGCCTACCAGTCCGGTATTGATTTCGAACTCACCCGAGTCGGGTAACTCGGATTCACAAATTCTCATGGTGGTCTCCTTCTACAAGTTTGCTAATTTTCCTGACCACAACCATTGAAGCAGCTCTGCGAAGAACTGGCGGTATCATACTTGCACCGGTATAAAAATAATCGCCTTGGGGAACGGAGCTAGTCACGTGGCCTCACCGAAGCAGTATGAGTTTCCATGGATGAGAATAATGGAAAGGAGAAAAAGCAGAAAAAAGGCACGTGGGGTCGGCATGTTTGTTTCAGTCTCAAATGAGCATTCCAATTGCTGCATGGGGTTAACATGTGCTACCAGAACAAGGCACGTGGGCTATTCTGGTACAAGTACAGGTTCTCCTACGTGGTCTCCAATTCCAATTGTACGCCTTCAACAGTTATTACCAGAAGAAGGCAAGTGGGGTTGGCATGTGCTATTTTGGCAGGGCGACCTGCGTGGTCTCTCAACCACCCATACAGAAGATCCTCTCGAACGTGATAGCTGGAGCCATTCAGAAAGGCATCAAGTTCTGAAAAAGATAAAGACTCTCATCATGAAGGAGCGCATGTTCCCACTCTTCACAGACGACATCATGACGTTAAGGGAAAAGAGAAAACAAAAGCAGAAAGCAAAAGAGAAAGTAAAAGAGAAAGCAAAAGGAAGGAATAAACGCCCCACCAGAATGATGTGATTTACTTTTCTTATTTGTGATTGATGTAAATTATTTTTCTTATCTTTCGGAGACATATGTATAAACCCCATCAGAGGGTAATAAAAAAATAATAAAAAAACAGTAAAGCCCAAAAATAAATGGGCTGGCATGCTGTGGAGGGCGAAGGCTCATAAGCCCAAAATAGCTCCAACCAGGCGATCAAAAGTACGTCCAGTACTTCACAATTATTCGGCAACCTGCCGCTATTACCACCAACTAGGTGATCAAAAGTACGCTCAGTACTCCACAATTATTCGGCAACCTGCTGCTATTACCACCAACCAGGTGATGAAAAGTACGCCCAGTACTCTAAAATTATTTGGCAACCTGCCGTTATTACCCCCAACCAGGTGATCAAAAGTACGCCCAATACTTCTAAATTAGACATAAGCACTACTCATGTCAATCATACATAAACA